CGCGATCGGTTGGCTCGTCGGGCGACTTTCCTCGCCGCGCGGTTTAGCATACTGCGACACGAAAGTCTCTTCGATTCTCGTCGTGAAATAAAGTCACCGCCGCTCGTCGCGATCGTTCTTTTCGTCTTCCCCTTAATCGTGCTCTCTTTATATTAATTTACTCATCGTTCCGCGAAAGCGCTTGACACGAAAGTCACCGCAGAACACAAACATTCCAAAATTACCGGAATAATCGAGGAACCGCGATTCGACAACACTGGAGTAGAACACGCGGATAGTGAAACTTTTCATTGAATTTATATACTATGAAGAATTACTTGAGAAAAAGATAAGGCAAAAACTTAGCAAAAAACACTGAAAAATTAATTTTAAAAGTAGAAATATTTTATAAAAATAATATCAAACTAGAACAATTAACATTTTTTCCTATTCTTTATTCTATTAGCACTCGGTGTCTCTTTATTTCTTTGTTTTTCATAATTAGCAACCGCCCTGAACTGCGATGGTTACTATAAGAGTCGTTACAAAATTACGTCATATGACGTATTCGCAAGCGCGACAGCGGTTGAGTTACGATGTGGCGAAACTTATGCACAGCCGTCTAATTAACTGTGTAATACCCCTAATTGTCTCGCCGCGAAGAATCGTCTGTTTGGTTCAAACGAGGCCGTATTCATTAACTTTTTACGCAATCATCGGAATTTACCCTCCGTGTCGCGACTCGAGGGGTACGCGAATTCATCGAAGACACCTTTCATTAAAAAAAAACGACATGTATCGTTAATTACTCCGATATCCCATAAATTTGCGCCGTTCTTGGAGCACGATATCTGACATAAATTTCCTAATATGAAGAATATTCAAATTAAAGGTATTATGTAAATGTTGCAAATTTTTATGAATTCATATGAGTCGATATCTATAAATGCCAAATTTTTTAAGATTCTATATACACTTAATGGATCCCAAAATATTCGTTGCTCCTCGCGCTTCTATTACTTTATTTTCCGATCGAAAAACAACGCGTTGTCGCATCTTCACACTGGCAAACCATAATTATTTTACAATCGCCCGACTGATCGGCCAAAAGATTAAAATTCCTGCGCCACTGATGCGCGTTCTTGCGCACTTATCTTCTGGCGAAAAAAAAAAAGAAACGGTTTCTTTCATTAAAGAGGCGGCGAAATCAAAAGTTTCCTCGTTATAAAACGCGTATCGGTCGACTGGTTAGACAGCGTACATTCGTAAGCAAATCGCGTTCGGTATCTGTTTAATGCTGTCATTATCGTTCACCGTATTGATCATAGCAACCGATTTTCTATAGCGGTGGTCGAACGAGATTTTTCCTTACCGGTAGAAATTAATGTTCAGATTATTAACGAATACGCACGCGATTATTGAGAATTAAACTAAGCAACACATTATAGCCAATATGACTTGCAACTGGCGTGGCGGATACTCAGAAAGAGAAATCACACGGAAATTAATAGACTGAACTTTAACGACGCGACCGACGGTACGCACATTCCTCAAGGCATAATATCGCGGGCTCTATTTTGCGAGCAGACATTCACGCGCGCAGTGTAATTGCGCAACGGTAAATTCATCGTGCGTTAAACTTATTTATTTATTGGCAATTAGACGCGTCGTAATATCGCTCATCCGATGTTACATTAAAAAGATCATGCACTGTGCGAATTGTACGTTTGTGCAAATTTGCACGCTTATAAGTGGAGTGTGATAAATGAGAGTACACAAGTATTTTTGTATTTTTAAATTAATATATATATAATTCTTAATCACGTGGATTTTTCGGAGGGACTTCGATGACGGGGAGGGGGAGGGGGGAGGAGAGCATG